ATTTCCGTTTCAATTCGGTATTCGGACTTGTAATTCGGATTTCTGTTTTATTCCGGTATGCTGATTATTGGGTTCCGAGAAATTGATACTAATCCGACATTCTAATTAATTCGGATTTCCGATTATTAATTCGTGATTAGGGTTAAATCAGTACTCTGTTTAATTCGGCATTCTGATTTTATTTCGGTTTCCGTTTTTATAATCCAGCATTCTGATTTTAACCCTGTATTCCGTTTTCTAAATCGGTATTTCCGTTTTATTGCAGTGTGGGAAATTAGGGTTACGAAAATTTTTGGTTTTCAATCAACTTGGGAAATTCGAACGTTTTGGGACCGTAAAACCGGAAATTCCGCGGAATCGCGGAAAATTAGGGTTGGACTCCGAAATTTTCGCGATTTTTTTTCTTTCTTTCCCTTGTTTGAGAAATTCTGAAAACGGACTTTAGGCCTTTTAAAAATCGGATTTTGACAGTGGAAATTCCCGCAAGTTCACGTTTTTGAAAATTCGAGTGTTTTTCTTCTGATTTCTTTTCCGAAAATTTTTTGGCAAACTAATCCGTAGCTGACCCTCAGAATTGCAACTTCCGGGTAGTTCACTAATTAACGGTGAACTCCCGGACTAACGATGATCTCAATGGATACCTAATCTTGACACAATTCAAATTCATTCATTATCATTATTGCAAATATTGTTTTAGTGATTATCATTCATTATTGCAAATATTGTTTTAGTGATTATCATTCATTATTGCAAATATTGTTTTATGTGATTATCATTTAAGAATTATTATTTCGTATTAATCATTAATTAAACTTTATTGATTAAATAAATCATTATAATTTTCTTATTAAGAATTTTTGAATTGTTTATGGGAAAATTATTTTTTCTGTTGATTAGGTGTCTTAAGTCCATCAGTGGGACAGGGGACTGTATGCCAATTGTTTGATTGTTCTACCCCTGTTCCCACTCTCCCTACCCTCCCCGTAATCTGTGACCACCGGGACCTCTCAAGTACCACATCAGTTCACACTGATGTCGACGGAACAGGACACCGGGGCACTGCCACGACGCAGTGCCAGGCTTGCAGTTCGTGCCCGCTCTGTGGTACCTCCCCGAACCAAGGCTCAGCGACTCAGCAAGCGGAAGACTTAAGCAGCATCGAGTACAGCACTGAACGTACCGGTTACCACCGGGGTTCTTCCCGCATGCCTGGTCCAAGGGGCCAGTGAGCCATTGACGGCTTACTTTCAGCGAGTACAGGCATTCACGGATGTCGTAACTACCGCAAAGGCACAGGAGGCAGCAGAGGCGGAGCGTCAGCGGCTGGCCAGTGAGGCGGCAGCCCAAGCTCAGCGGACTGCTGAGGCTGACGCCGTGGTGCAAGATAAGCGGAACGCCATTTGCATGGAGTCCTTGACTGTGAATGAGAGTCAGTGGACGACACTGCTCCAAGGCATGCTGTTTGTGCCTTCGGATACACAGGCGGATCCGACACCGGCGGAGGAAGAAAGGAGCAACCTGGCTAACCTGATGTTGAATATGATGCGAGCGATCATGTGGAACAATACGATGTTAATGGTGCAAATACACGAGGGCAGACAGCTGCGACAGATCCAGCAGAATGATTCTGCAGCCTTAACAGCTGCTGTTCGCGCGGCCGCCACACATCAGCAACAACAGCAACAACTGTTGAGCACCACCACCGCACGCGTCAACAGCATCGAGGCTAAGGCCTCAGCAGCGCCAGGCTGCACGACGGACACGGCGAAACAGCTCAACGAGCGCATCGACCATGTCGTCAGTTTAATTGGCGAACTCGGTGATTTCACCGGTCCGGCTACGATCAGCAGCACGGTGGCCGCCATCAAGACGGACATCACCAAGCTGCAGTCGCAACCGGCAGCAGCTGCGAAGGTATACAAGATGCCACGGTTCAACATCGGCAAGTTTGAGGACTACAACAAGACCGACGCTTTGACATGGTGGCAAGCCTTCCTCACGGAAGCATCATGCCACAAGGTCCCAGCCGAAGACATGATGAAGGCCATATACCTCCAACCCATTGGAGGGGCACAAGCATGGATGAACCACCTCGCAGTCAACAAGAAGACCACGATCGCCGAGCTACACAAACACCTCACGTGGGAGGAGTTTGAACAATTGTGGTTCACTCGATTCATGGTCCGCAACGTGGGGAAGGCGGCCATGAACGAGGTCTACACATGCTCACAAGGAAGCATGCCAACTCGAGACTGGACAATTAAGTGGCAAAAGATAGTGACCACGCCAGGCTTCGATTTGAGCTTTACAAACCAACGATCCGAGTTTTTCTCGCGATCGTGCGCAGGACTGCGAACCACACTCGGCAACGAGTACGATTACGCCTCATTCCAGGCCATCCTGGATCGTGCGAACTTGGTCATCCAAACGGATGACAAGGCCGCAAACGAACGGCAGTCCCAGCCGCATTATGTGGCTAAGCAGGGCTATCAACGACCGACACATAACAATGCCGTGATTTCGGAAGAAACAGACGATCTCCACGCTGCAGCAGCATCCTCGAGTGATGGAGGAATTGTAGCAGCGCTCCCGCCGAAGCGTCCCAAGAGAGTTCGAAAGAACAAGGCGACACAGGAGACGGCATCGACGGGAACTGGGCAGCAGCCATGGACGACATACACCAAGGAAATCTATGACCTTCGTCAACGGTACGGATATTGCCTTTGGTACAATGGAGTCACTCATTTGACCGCACAGTGCCCCGAAAAGGGCAAGGCACGCGTACCCCGTCCAACGAACTCGGGAAACTGAGTTACGCAAGGAGAGGGGCGATGTCTCTCCTCACTCCGCCGGACTCGGTTGCCTTGCTAGCAATCGATGTCACTACCGGGGAGCATGCATTAGTCGCTGATTCTCGTCTTACGTACGAGGATTATGCCGCCCAGCTGGTACCACCACTAGACCAGCCAAGCCACGTGCACTTAGATTGCGTATGTGCAGCCTGTACACCGTCGGTAAGTGATCCGGTCAGTTCGCCACTGATTTTCGAGGACTCGACAGCGTGGTCAAGACTTGAGGAGCTTGACCCGCTCACGAGAGAGGACTTCGCTTGGATGCCTCTACCCTCAACCGGAACCTTGCCAAGGCCGCATTGCAATGCCTTGATGGCAAATCTACGCTCCTATTTGCACGCTACAGTACCAGCTCCGTTGACGGACGACGGAGTAGCGGTTGTCGATCTCCGCTGCTATCTTGCGAAGATTGACCGCGAGTACGCCCCCCAAAGGTATGCCAAAACCGACGCACCTTTGCTCTATATCCGCATTCAAATCGGAAAGGCAACCTGTAGTGCCTTGATTGATTGCGGAGCATCTCGCAACTTTATGAGCCAAGCCTTTATGGCCCGCGCAGGTCTTGGCCCTCGCGTTCGAAGGAAGACGCAACCCACGCAAGTTTCACTCGCGGACGGTCGCACGCAAAAGTCGATTGACCGATGCGTCGACGGCGTTCTGGTATACTTTGCGCCACTTGCGTGCGAGCC